ACTGGTCTAATGGTTCGTCTTGCAGTTCCTATCATCCACAAAGGTTAAGTTATTTTCTGGTTTTGTTATATTATACAGGAGAACTCTATGGGCTCCTAAAAAAGCCTTATGTATATTTCCCTTTCCAGGATATCGAATGTTCGCTCAATAGTCCTTTGGTTTTTGTGTCTTTTGTTGCTGTTTTTTTTTTTTGTTTTTTTTGTGAAACGCAAGCTAACGATGCGCAGCATCTATACGAATTTAATGCCCCAAGCAGAAGTCCCGCAAAGAACAGTGAATCCTTGCACCTTCCACTGGCTTCTCCCACCCTGCCACCCACTCAAATGAGCCGCTCATAAAAAGTCGTCGCATCGCTAAAGGCGACGCGCACATAACAAATGATAGTCACTGCCACGCCCACTGCTGCCAGCCCCATAGAAACAACAACAGCACAATTAATGCATTAAAAAGAGCGTTAAAAAAGAGGTAAAAATAGAGTAAAAAGAAGGGCAAATAGAGGATAAAATAAGGGGGGGATTATGGAATATAGAAGTAAAAAACAGGCGAAAATCAGCTAAAAAATATACGGACAAAGGAAAAAACTTTAGCATAAAAGGCACATCGATTATATGGAATATAGTCATTCTATATTTAAGATTACGACCATTATATGGCCTGCTGGCAGAAATAAAGGTCTACGGATCGGTTTTAATCGTGTGGCTTCGATTTAACAATCGATTAATGAAATCTTCTACATCGCAGACTAAAATTTTACAAAAAAGCTGTTAAAAACATGGGACCCTCTGAAAGGGCACAAAAAATTGAGACAAAAGAAAAGCAAGAAGCAAAGGCGAGAAAACACAAGTGGAGAAAAGGCCAATAAAAATTACGTTTAAGCCCCATTTAATTGAAATATCTTCACAGAGGTCAGAGAAAGAGTGAGAGAATAAGGAGAAATGGAGAGAGAGACTGAGAGACTGGGAGAGAGAAAATACTATAATGAGAAAGGAGAAAGAAGCCAAAGAGCATTCATCAGAAAAGATTTCATAAGAGACACAAAAGGATTGTGTATATCCTTTCATCAAGTGCATCGGTTAGGTTAATGATGCCCAAAATCATTAAATCATTAAACAGGCCCTACAAATCGTGTTTCGAATATTTTGCTTACTGAATTACCTGAATGTTGGTCAGTCAACGAATTGGCCTTAGTTTTCGAATGGAATCTGTTGATTATTGATGGGATTGCACTTTCGCTTTCCACCAATTAGCGCAGTTTTCAGTCTACAAAAGCCAATTTTTTCAGAGATAAATCAGCTTAATCCCGAATGAAATGTATGGGCTTTTAGGTCACCTTTAGGTCCGCCCATCAAGCGCCAAAAATAAGCGACATTCTCCAGGTTCTGCCAGAGGTCCGATTTCCAGAGACAGAAACGCACTTACGACGACAAACCAATTAAGGACTCTCCCCGTCTCTCTTTCTGTTGAATCCAAGATGCTGCCACGCCCAGCTTATTGGCTTAGCCGAAAGGAGGTAGTCCTTTGGCACTGCCGTCACTCCATTCATTCCTTCGTCCATCCATCCATCTTTATTTACTGCGTGAAACACAAAGCACAAGAAAATGAATGCCAGCCAGGAAAGAAAGGCATCGGGCAGCGCAAACACAAAAAATGGCACAGAAAGGGAATGTAAGGGCTACAGCGGGGCGAAGCTTTGGATACACTTACAGGCTAAAGCAAATTTATAAGAACATCAAAAATTGTTCTAGGGTTTTTTTCGCGATGATTTGAAGTCTTTTGGCAAACCGAAAGACGCGTCGAGTACACATTTACCAGAACTACCATCTTTTAAGAAAAACAGAAGCTGAAGCAGAAGCCCTTTCTCTGCGATGCAGAGTTCATGTCGAAATCGGGATACCCTTCGTCGACAGAGCAACAGCGGGAATAAAAGAATGCAGAGGCCAAGGGGCCGCAGTGGGGCAGGAGGACTCCTGGCAGCAGAGGTGACAACGAACAGGCAGCAGACATTAGGCGGGCACTGGAGCCCCGGCTGTAGCTGTAGCTGTAGCTGAAGCTGTATCTGTATCTGTATCTGTATCTGTGACGCCTGTATCCCCAAAACAAAGCTGTGGAAAAGCGGAGAAAAAACAACCATGTAGAAATGGGAATCCCGAAAAAAACAACAACAAAATGGGAATCCCAAAAAAGCAATTTATGCGGGTCTCCACTGTCCCACTCTGCCACTCTCTATCTCTCTCTCTCTCTCTCTCTCTGTCCCTGTCTTACTCTACCTCGTGTTGCACCTCTCTCTGTCTCTTTCTGTTGATAGTTCTTGCCACAAAGAATGGCATGTGTGTGATGGCCGCAGGGACAGGAAGAGGCAGCAGTCCATGTGCGTGTGATGGGCGTGAGAGTGGACTCCGAGCGAGAGTGGGAGTGGGAGTGAGAAAGAGTGTGAGGCATGGGGCTTCTGGGGCAAACATAAACTACAGTTACACTCGAACAACGGGGCAAAGTTGCATTTCCGCTGTAACCGTTTTCCGGGGCCGGGAAATGCGTTCGACGCGTGTTTGAAATATTGGACCGCCCCACCCGAAAGTCTTTCTCTGCCTCTCATCGATGCCACGTGCCCCCTGTGATTCCCTGTTGCTGCTGCGGCTATGGCTGCGGTTGCTGCTGCTGCAGGTCCTGGTACTGCTTTCATCTGTTTTCATCTCATTTGAGCGAGCATTTAATGTTCAGCTTTTATCCTCTTGGGGCATGCACCAGGAAATGATTCTTAATCCCCGCGATGTTTTCATACCTCTCTCTCTCTTTCTCTCTTGCTCTTTGATCGCAATGCCCGCTATTGAGTGGAGTGGCGAGTGGCATGGTGTGGCGTGGCGAGGCGAGGCGCGTAGAGTGGGTTTTTTCCGCATGGATTTTGTGGCAACAAGCTCCTGGTCCCTGCTGCTCCCTTCTCTCTGCTCCCTGCTGTTGCTGTTACATCGAAAATCATGTGCAAATGGAATTACACTCTCAAAAAAAAAAAGCAGTTTACTGGCAAAAATTGAAAATCAATTCGATAAATGGACGGGAATGAGCAAGCAGTGTCGAAGCGTCAAGGATATGCGAGTATTAATGGACGCGTATGCCCGATCGATGGACATTGATCGGTAGATACGACGATAGATTGATGCTTAGGCATTCCGATAGTTATTTCGATGGCATCACTTCATCATTTCAAATTGTTGCTTAAATTATTCCTCTTCCGCTCTGTGCCACCTTCTGTCTTTTGTTCCGATTCCATCGTTTCAAATTGGCCAATTGCCTGTTGGCATTCCATTCCCTTTGTCTTTTCTTCCTGCTGCTGGGCATGGGAGAGGGCACGGACTTTTGAAGGTAAGGCCTTGGCTTGAAACTGAGATACGTTCGCACCTGGCATTCCATGCCAGCCATGCCAGTCCATGCCAGTCCATGCCAGCCATGCCACAACCCCCTTTGCCTGACACGCCCTTCTGCTGCATACGAAATGTGTGTATGGCTGCACTTGAGCTGAATTTCGCGCTTGCGTTTCGCTTTTGTTTTATTTTTCGCTTCTAAGGCACTTCTGGCGGCCTTTTAGCCGCCTTCGTTGTCGACGCACAACAAACAACAGAAGCTAACAGCAAACAGAAGAGAAAGCAAAGCGAAGCAGCGGCAGTGAAACGCAAGAGAGCAAACGAACAGGTGCAAGTGGGCGGAAGATGGAAGGGAGGGAAGGAAAGACAAAGAGGAAAAACAAGTCAAGCGCCTTAAAATATGCAGCACTCGCATAGAGCGTCCTTAATTGCCACACCTTCGTCTATTTGCCAGCCTCCTGGCAATTTCTTGCTTCACTTACATTCTGCCTCCTAGTCCTCCTCCTGCCCGCTCTTTTTGCCTCTCCTGTCTGCGTGCCTCGCCATTCTTTCATGCCCAGCGGGCTAATAATCAGTTTGAGCTGCGTGCCTCGTGCCTCGTGCCCCCTGTCTCCTGCCGCCTTGGAGAAGCCTCCTGGACACAATTTCAAATGAAAACTAAACAAATTCCACGCTCGCCTGCTCTTCAATCAATCAAAAGCGAGCTTCAATCAATGACAAGGAACTCAGATACATTCTGCCAAAGCAGCTTAGGAAAGACCATGCCACTGCCACTTTCCGTGCCCCATGCCTACAGTTTTGTGGCATTAATTTCGAGCAATTGCAACTTAATGGAAAGCATTCAATTGTGCAAATTAATGCGGACGTCGACAGCATTCTGATTTCAGCAGCCTGCTCAGTACAAGCACTGTACAGGAATCCATCCAATGATCCCCATTCAGCCCCTGTTCGCAGCCGTAGCTGCCCCCATCCATATGCCCCATTCGGATGGTTGACTCCGATGTTTTAGTGCCTGTTAATTAATGCTTTTGATGAGCCAAACTAATGGAGAGCTCAGAGAGCCCTTGTAAACTGAGCACTTCAAAGGCCACAGCCTCTGATTTAAATTCAAATTCAAATGGCACTCATCTGTAGCATCTGAAAGGCACATTCACATCTTGTAATTAGAAATTAATATGAAATTTGCACATGCCCGAATTACACAAACTATTTCGTATATTCCACAGATATGATCCCAAAACATTAGTGGATTATGATTATGTTTTACAACATTCTCATTGGGCTTAAATCGGGCCGGGTTTCTGATTGGCTTTATCGGTGGTAAGCCCCAGAATCGGGGGTTTTTGTACGCTGAGAGGCATTGCCAGGGACAGGAAAGGCATCGTGTTACAGAGCCGAGGGGCACTGCTGCATGACGGATGATACATTTAAAACAAAGCTCAGTGCATTCAGTGGCTGGAGACCAAATGGAAGCTTAAATAAGGAATAAAGAAGTGAAAATCAAGATAACATTTTGTATAGTCATATTGTTGTTCCTCTCATGCACATATTAATCGTTGATTCTAATTCTAATTGTTAATTAAATTAATAGAAATGCATATACTAGAAACAATTGCTAAAACTTGATTTCTGTTTATTCGACAGATAAACCACAGGATATCGCCAAAGAGGCAAAAGGGTTCAAAAATCGCGGCCACCAAATGCAAGATGGTTCCGGACCAACCAGTAAAAATGCAGTCTGGGCCGCCGTTACCTTCGCAAAAAAGTACTATAGCCGGACAGACTGCGGACAGTTTTGCAACTGTTCCGTCCACGCACTCGTACGGCGGCATCCCGACTTCGTCCGGCACCAGCTACGTTTCTATTGGAATCTTGCCAGGGTTGGGCAGTATACCGACCGCCACGAGCGGGACGCTGCCATTGCTTCTGCCTACAACGAGTCCTTCGACCACAACCTTCAAAACGACCCCCTTGCTGCCGATGCCGTCGTTGGAAGACATCGAGGTGGCCAACCAGATTCAGACACAGATTCAGACACAGAGCCAGGGCCAAGCACTAGTGCAGCAGCAGCAGCAGCAGCATCAACAGCAGCAGCACCAGCAGCCGCCCGCGGGAATCCTTAAATACCCAAACCCTCTTCCACCTCCCAGCGTCAACTATATCGGAGAGCTAATGCCACTCCCACTCCCAATCCCACCCACCAGCACCCCCACCCCCACCACAACGATGAGCAGCGGCAACTGTGGGACCCTCAAGAGTACCGCCAAGCTGCTGCCGCTCCAGTTGATGGCCTCCGCCGGACCACCGCCCAACCATCCACCATCGATGTCGCTGCCACCAGCCTCAGCAGCAGCCTCGATCCAGGCGCAGGCCCAAGCCCAAGCCCAGGCGCAGGCGCAGGCGCAACAACAGCAACAGCAGCGTCATCGGAGGCGCCACGGCTGGTGCGGCTGCTTTGGATCGGGTGGCCGCAACACCAGACCAGTCGAGAAGACAACACCGCCTCCGCCGGGCTATACCACCAAGTCGAAGAAGCGCAAGCCCAAGTCGCAGACAGTCTGGTCGGCGCTGCTCACCAATCTGGGCATCTGCATGCTCCTTCTGGCCTACACATTGTTGGGTAAGTGTTTCCGTCTACGGAGGGGACTTTCGGCTCGATCAAAACTTAATCCAGAGGGATCTAAGGGCTTAGCCATGGAATGGCTGTAGAAGATATTTTTGCTTGGTGATTGGCAGGAGTCAAACTGTATCGTGTATCAGGAGTCATCATTCGTGTTCTGAGTGCTGATGAACGCCTACGAAACATTCTATACTATTGCGCCATAGCAGTCCAGAAAAAGGCAGAATTTTACAGAAGAATTTAACAGAAAACCCATAAATATATCTTTATCCTTGAAGTACTCTTTATTTAAACGAAAAGCATTGAATATACAATGAAAATACTTTGTGCACTTCACAGACAGTCTCAACTCTGAATCCGAAGCAAAAGCTGATCGATATTTTCTGGTCCTATATTCGTATTCGCATGTTGGAGGATATACTATAATAAGGATATACGCGTACAATAATAAGTACTACAAGAAGCATATATCATTCGTATTGGGGTGTTGTCTGTTGACTGCTCCTGCCATTTCGTTGTTTTCCTAATTAACGTGACTTCTTCTGTCGTTTTGCACGGCCGAGTGTGTGCCAGATACAGATACGGATACAGCTATGGCTGCAGAAACAGTTGCAGATACAGCCACTGCGATGGTGGATGCTTAATGTGTCTTGTCACAGAGTTCGACGTTTAAATTAACCAAAAACAGCAGGAAGAGTGGGTGGAACGCCGCCGCACGACAACGTGATAAATTTAATTAATCATTTTGTTACCCCCAGCCAATGCGGATGCGGATGTGTGGAGCATTGTGTGCGGATGCCGGCAAACAAATGTCAAAATGGCCGCCGCAGAGCCAAAAACTTATGTCTACCACGAGTGTGGCGAGTGTGCGTGTGTGTTCGAGTGGGTGAATGTTTCTCTCGTAGCATAGCATACTTTTGAGCGCTGTCATATTTATTAGAAAACCAAAAGGCGACATCAGCCGACAAACGCTTGACGCGCAGCTCCATCTCTGTCTTGGCGGCTTTGACTTCACCTCCCCCTGCTCTCGCCCCTCTTTCGAGCTCTCCTTCTTCGTTTCCGGATACTACTTCATCTCAGTCTTTTCCAGCGTCTTCGGCTGCTTCTTCGTCTCCTTCGTATCCTCTTTCCACTTTTGGTTCCTTCTGCCTCTTCGCTTCGTCCTTTCCTCTCTGTTGTCGCGCTCTAATGCTCTCCAACGGTGACGGCTGTTTTGACAAGAGCTTGAAATAGCGGCATAGAGAAAAAGGCGACATATGCCGTGTCCGGGTGTGCCCGTATGTGTGTGTGTCTGTGTGTGTGTGTGTGTGTGTGTGTGTGTGTTGGGGAAATACTTTAAACAAATCGGAAAATTTTCACTTATGTGTGTGTGTGTGCGACAGCTGGGCGGAAAAAGTTATCCCTTGTTCAGAGGAAATCATCAAAAATGACACAAACAATTATTCAACTTTTGGCTAGGCCGTGCGTGAGAGATGCGTCCGCCGGTGACGTCACATGACAGCTGCTCTCTCTCTCCCCCTCCCCCCCTCTGATGCTGCTTGTCCTGTACGGTGACATTTTTCCCTCTACTTCTCGGACGGATACTTGGCTTTTGGTCGAACCTTCAACATCAGCCTTCAACCCATTTGCCAGCCTTTTAATGCTTCAGCGAAAGTTTCCCAGAGGGAGAGCATCAAGAATGACAAGTCGCCAAGTCACTTGAGGGGGTCATATTTGTCGCTACCCTCTGAGCTGGAAGGAGGCCGCAGCCAGATAAAAATACGAATAGAAGACGCTTAAGGTGTATGGAAAATGGAACAGAATGAAAAGAAACCAAGACGGACAGAGAAGAGATCCTTGATTGAATATTCAACTGATATTTGATGAGTAATGGTTGAGATTATCGTGGGAAAGAAAGAGCTTCCTGGCTAGCAGCGGATGCGAGGCTTGTGGTTTGTATTCCTACCCTAGAATAATTGATAGAAAATAGCGATGCTTTTTTATAGCAGGGTAGCAGTTGGGGAACTCTTCTCCGCAGACCCCTGTGTCCATTTGGCATTCCCACTTCCCACTCGGTGCTCCACTCTCCGCATCCTTCCCGTTTGTATTATTTTTAACTTTGACATGTGTTAGAGCTCCCGCCGGGGACATATCGTCAGGAGTCATCATTCAGCATACATCGCCCCTACATCCGACATCATTTTCAGGCGCAAACTTTCCTCAAATGTTTGAGCAGGAAAAACTTTTCTAAACAAAAAAAAAACTTGACAAAATGTGTGCCACATCTGTGTGTGTGTCTGTGTGTGTGTGTGTGAATCAGTGTGAATCTCTGTGTGAATGATGTATGAATGTGTTTTTTAGTTGGCGATGCATTAACATTAAATGAGTGACAAGAATCAACACGAAAGGACCCCCAAAGGACAGGAATCGAGCATCGATTGGGGATACTGGGGGAACCCATGTCACCCATGATAGACCTAGACCCCTAACCCACCCACCCACCATCCCCTGCCCTGAAGAGGCGTGCCACACACCCACCCACACACACACACACACAGACAGACAATGAATGAGTGAGTGAGGCGTACGATTAGGTCCGACAACGTTTACTTCAGCTGTACCTTTAGTTTCTTCGAACTCTTATAAATATCCTGTGACACTTGTCTACTCGTCAACCACTAAGCCACTCGCTTACTCCACTACTTCTATGCCATTCCAGCCATTTTTTGGCATCTTTGGGGGCTCCGATTCATAAAGATTATTCCTCCTGTGCATTGCATGCAATAACCTCTTTAGAAGAATAAACATCATCAACGGAACAGGCAACAAGGCCGGGCCGCATAATCTTAAATCTATATTTTCTAATATTCATTTTGGCGAATATCAAGCATCTCTTTGCTGATAAAAATCTCGAAGAGAGTGCCCCTGTTTAAGGAGCAGAAGTGTGTTCCAATCAGTAACCGAAGAACACCTCAGAGACTACGCAGACGCCCGTCCCTTGCTCTCCTTTCGGGCCTTGGATAGGGTATCCATAACAGAAACTAATGAGATGCCGTTGCTCATATTTTTTGTTGCCGCCCGAAGCCTGAAGAGAATGGAGAGGGCAGGGGCAGGGGCAGGGACAGACCATGATGCTGCATTTGTGATAAAGATGATGATGATGCTAATGTTTTTGGCTTCCTTCCTTTTCGTTGCAGGCTCCTTCATATTTCTAACCATCGAGAACGAGGACTCGGCGCTGCTGCATCAGCAGCACACACTGGCAAGCACCAAGCGTAATCTTGCGGGGATTGGGACTGGCAGTGCTATAGGGAATGGCATTTATCAGCAGCAGCAGCAGTCGCCACACCAGCAAAGGTCGCCGCAGATGCACCACCAGCAGCAGCAGAAACAGAAGTTGCAGAAACAGCAGCAGCAGCAGCAGCAGGCAGGACAACGACATCATCGACCAGGACAACACACTGTGGACAATGACACGGTGGCGGCAGCAGTGGCTGCCGCCCAGGGATTGCTGCCAGGACATGGCGGTGGTACCTCCTCCTATGGCATGGCCCCACAGGGAGCATCATCGAATGACTTTGTTTATGGCGTGGATGTGGCAGACGAGGCAGAAATGCAGGAGAATGCTGGAGGAATGCCGCAGTTTGGACTCGGACTCGGACTGGGAATCTCGCCGGATACTTACGATGTGAGGCAGCGGACCATTGAGAATATCTGGGACATAACCGTATCGCTCAATATACTCTACAAGGAGAACTGGACAAAGTAAGTCGCAGTAGCAGCTTTCCCTCTTTTCCTTTTGGCACATTCTCACTCTCTGCCTCTGTTCGCCCGTACAGATTGGCAGCACTGGAAATAGCCAAGTTTCAGGACCAATTAATCAAGAGACTGAACGAGGATGTTATGCTGCAATTATCACACGAGGATATGGCCAACGCAGGCGTCGGGGCCGGTGGCGCCTCCGGCAGCGGCAACAATCCAGCCACGGAAGCCGTTCTACTTCACACCCACTTTTATCATCATCGTGCCGCAGGCGGAGGAGTGGTTCCCGGCGGCACTGGTGGCCCTCCGCACGAGTGGAATTTTGCCAAAGCGTTTTTGTATTCGCTGACCGTTTTGACCACAATTGGTAAGTGCCACATGGCCACCATGGATGGCCTTCTGCTTGCACACAGACAGACAGCGACAGTGGAGGGGGGAGAGACGGCGAGCGGGGTTTGCCCCGTCCTGAGAACGAGAGAGATAGAAACAATGGGTGGCTGTGCCTCTCTGGCTTCTGGTTTCTGGCTCTCGGCCATAAATTTGATGTTCCGTCCCGACGGAAATTTGTTTTACTTGAATGGCGAATGGTGCCTGCCCCAAAGTGTGGTGCTCTTGTGTTGCAGGATACGAAACGAACCAAAGGCCATATACGGGGCCCGAAAACGGAGTAGAGAAAGGGGTCAGGGGCTAGGGAATAGGGGTTATGGCCATAGCAAGAGGACATGACCCGCGTACACCTTTTGACACCATCGCATCAGTGCATTTGCGGGATGCAGTCCACTGTGATGAAGGGAATGCAGGCAGTCCGCACTGTTGCATCAAGGAATACTGCAGAGGATGCTGGAGAGAGGCTGATGATGATGATGATGGGGCCCAAAAAACTCCACTTATTAATGGATTGATGGTGCGGCCTCAAGCCTTATCGTTATCGATAGCTGCATAACGATTATTTATCGAGTGGAGACAAGCACCGTCGATTATCAGGCTGTGGCCTAAATAGTTTTTGGAGCTCTTTCGTTTCGCTTACTCTGAATTCCAGGCTCTTTTTTTATGCTCTAAAAGTTATTGCCACAATTTGTTGCTTCGCTCGTTTCGTATCCAAAATGCAATCGATACTCGCTCAAAGCTCGTTTCATTACGAGCTCCCAAGCTGCCTGACTGCCTACCTTTCTCGTTGGCCCCAAAGAAAGAACACAACAAAAACTAATTCGATAAGACTTCAATCGACAGAAGATTTTTATCAATTTTTTTCAATTGGCATTTTGTCAGAGGCAACAACACCCACCTCTTGGCAGGACCCTGTATCATTGTTCCACATGCCCCCAAAACGGTAGCCTGATTTTGTCTGATTTTAAATATTGGGTCTTTTGTTCGGGGGGAAACTTTTAAGCTCCCTTCTAGCATCCCAGCCCTGGTAACCAGTTGTCATTTTCCCAGGAAAAATACATACATATGCATTCTTCTTCCATTGCCGAATGCTGCCGTGTGCGTTTTTCTCTGTCCTATCTATCTCTCTCTATCAATTGTCCCTCTCTCTTTTACTCACACATGTACATATATATGAGCGGTAATTCTGTAGGCCCGAGATAAAAAAAAGAAACCCCAAGCCGAAAGTCAAATATTGATAGAGAAAAACAACAAACGAGGCTATTTGCTTAGACCCCCAATCCCAAGCCCCACCCCCACACACTCATACACAAATAAGCACACATAAACACACACACACACACACACACACACACACACACATAGGGTATGTTCTATGTAAAGATAGATACAATACATCGACACGACTTTCCACTTGTGAAAATCATATAAAATAAAATTTGCAAAAATTTTGTGCTGATCTTGGCCAAAAAAGTTGCTGCCCCCGAAAAAGGCCAGAAAGCAAATATAGGACTAGGGTCCTCCAGGTTCCAGGACCTTCACTTTTCACCACCCAACCACCCTCCCGCCCCTTGTCCATTGCCAGAGCACATCATTACCCACACTGGCACACCACAGCCTCCTCATCTGCTCTGTGCCTCCACATTTATGTACTTTTCTACTGCATTTTCCATTTTCCACTTACTCTCCTTTTGTTTAAGGGCATTTTGATCTGGACAAGTATTTGGGAACGAAACGGAAGAGGGTTTCTGGTGTTTAGTTTCCGCTTCCAAAAAGGGGAGTCTCCATACTTTGAAGTTGATGCAAATTTATTCACTGCCTATAAAGTAGCTCTGTTGGGGGAAATCTTTGAACTGGGAAGACTTTTTAATAGTTGAGCCCTTCATAAATCTATGAAGAAGATTACAGCATAGGTGGTGTTTGTCATGCAGCAGTGCCCCTCGGTCGGTGGCGTTTCTGCCTGGTATCTCATAATAGTTAGTATTTCCTTATTATTAACCTATTAAGGTTTACAGTAGATTTTATCATACAAATTCCTATTTGGCGGGAAATAATTTTAAATTGTAGGTTTTAATATATAGGTTAGGTATAGGTAGGGTATCCTATGGTTGGGGTTCCGTAAATCTGGACTTCGTTTCTTTCTCCTGTTTCTCTCTTTTCGGTTCCTGTTCCTTTCCGTGAGAGCATAAAAAAAAGCTCTAATGTAGGCAAATATAGGGAATGGTAGGCGGTGGACGCCGGATAGGGTCTAGGCCATGGGTCTAGGGCGTGGGAGTCCTATGGGCGGGGCGGGGGCGCGGCGTGGGAAGGCTGTTTGCAATTGCGTTAGTCAGCAGACTGTTGGGGTGGACATTTGTATTAACATGACATCCTGCTTTCCTGCTTTCCTGCTTTCCTGCCTTCCTGCCGACTCGCACTGGCCCTTGTCCTCGTCCTTTTCATCGTCCTTGTCCTTGTCCTTGCTTATGATTATTATTATTGTTTTCTGTGGGTTGTGTATTTTTCCAACCACGAGGGGCTTCATTGTTCTCTCTCTGGCCACCAGGCACCCCAACACAATATGATTATGATTATTGGTCCAGCTTCTGGCCAAAGGACCACTAAGCCACTTCACTGCAGTATCCGATACCAAATACCCTGTACTCGTTCATAGACAGCATGTGATGGTTTGCTGCATGACATGGAACTTCATTGAGTAAAAAAATGTTTTTATTTGTTGTATAGATCTCTCCTTCTTTCGACCAAAACCTCCTCATGGAGAATGAATATTTTTAGGGAGAAGAGAGCCTGAGGAGGAATCAACCATCGATGTTTATGCTGGACTCTAGCATAAATTTGAATTATTTTCATTGAAATGCAATCAATGGCTAATAGAATCATTCTTTTGAAAACTTAGAAGCACTGGAAATTTGTTTTCCACTATGTTTGCAGTAAACAAACCTTTCAAAGCCCCCAAACATAAGCCTAAAGCTAGGCCAGTCTTGAAACCAGGGTACCAACCTGTCCCATACTCAACGACAGGCTCCAGGCTCAGACTATTTTCTAGCCGTGGAGTTGCTATGATTGTCTTGGGCATAAATGCGAATTTATAGGCATCCTCTGACGCTGCTGATGCAATAAATAGGGCCCCCGGAACGTGGCCAATCCCCTGGACAGCAATAAGACAAGTAATTTAGTTGCAAAATAATTTTAAATTTCATTTTCCATTTTCACACACACACACACACACATATATATATATATATACAGACACACAGGGCATTCCCATTTCCATTTCCACATCCACTATCATCAATTGCGCATCTCCAAGGCGATTCGGTTTTATGCCCCTTCGCCGTTCGCCATTCGGGGGCGTTATGTGTGCGAGGAGGCATATCGATACGAGTGCGAGTAGGAGTAAGGAATCTCCCCGTCTCGGTGGAGGACCCCCCATGACCCCACTGAGAAGCAGATTAGGACTAGTGGTTTATGGGGGAAGAGGGGTGGGGGGAAGCGTTTATTTAAGGTGGGGTGGTAATGGTATTTACTCGCCTGCACGCATATTCGATAAATAATTCACTTGCCTATCGGCTTAGCTTCATGGTTATTGTCCGCACACTCGCATTCGGTGCGATTTATATACGTTTGCCTAATCGATCGATGGCGCCCTCCCCCGCCCATCCATCCGATAGATTCCTATCGCTGGTACCCCAATTGATCTTTGTTTGTGTGTGTGAAGCAGATATTCATAATGGGAACAAATGTGGGGCCGGGCTTCCATTGAAATTCGATTCACAGTATGGTAATAGCAGAGCACTTGGGCTCCGATTGTCGCCTCGATTGTGCGCTCGATAAGCTGCGCAATACATTCTGTAGATGCTTTAAACGTAGAGATACTATAAATAGTTAGGCACGTAAGATAGAAGATTATGGAATGTATCAATTAGTGTATCCTTAGACACCCCCAATGATACAGGAAATTACAAGAAAAATATCTACCATCTATTGACAATCCTTAAGAGATCTGTGGATGATGCTTTTTGAAAATGCTAAAACTTGAAGAAATACTGCCCTTTTATATTGAAAATATACTGCAAATCGTTGAGAGTTCTTCAATGTTTGGAGCTACTATGAAATGATTGGTATTTGAACAAATTTTAATTCAAGTTTCATGAGTTTCACAGTTATTCCACCATTCAAATTCGTATATTTCTTGGGCTTACATTTTTGAGATATAAGCTTAATAATAATAAAAAGGTAAGCAGATAAATGTTAAGGCTCGCTATGGATATAGTGATATATGTGGATGTATTCAATATGTATTCACATAATTCACTTGCGAGCTCCTAATGGACCTGGCCATCGAATCACAAATCACTCGATGGACTGCATTTGGCCTACAGCAATGGGCCCCCAAAACGGCAATGCCTCATCCTGGCCTACATTCTGTATTGGCGGGGTAGCAAAGCGATGGCTATTAGCGGGTTCTTCGGACGCAAACACACAAAAAACCGGACGAGCGATGAAAATCATTCAACCCGAAAACGCATGGCCACACCCCTACATACGTAATACGTGTGTGTGTGTGTGTGTGTGTGTGTGTGTGTGCTGTGCTGTCTGTCAATATTGAAATCTTTCAATATCTTTCAATAAAATATGTAGATGCTGTTCCACACACAGACACAAACCCTGCCACAGACACTCTGCTCCCAAAGAGGCAAGCAAATTGACAGTGCGCCAGCTGAATTTCACAGCCCCCCAGAGTCGGAGTCGGGTCAATGGCAATATTATTAGCCCACACCCATGCTGGCATCGGCATTGGCTCCGGCATTGATGGGATGGGATCGGATCGGATGGGATGGGATGGGATGGGGAAGGTCTTTTGTTGCCACACTTCCTCTCGGAACCCAACCTCTTCACTCCCTGCTCTTCGGCTCCCCAGCACCGTGGTTCAAATAAATCAGCAAAATGTTGCCAAAAATCTTTGCCACTTTTGATTTATTCCCCCCCATCATACAATGGATCACTGTGCTGGGAAGGACGAGGAAGGAACAGGGCTTGGGGGCAATGGATGCTGGAGCTGTCGTCTGCTTTGTGACACATTGACATTTTGGCTCTTTAGAGAGGACTTGAGGGGCTGGTTGGGCATGGGGGCTGTGTGTGTGTTGGGGGGCTGGGATTTCATTTAAATTTGCTGTCAACGCAATTACATGGTAACCAGGGTCTCTCACCAAATCCGCTTCCTCTTTCAGCTACAGTTCCCAAAAATGTTCTGCAGGTTCTCTCCATCTCGGTCTCTCTCTCTCCACTGCCGGATGTGAGAGTGACAGGACCTCCAGGCGTGTGCTCGTGTGGTCTTATCCACATGTGATTTTCCCGCACCGCCTTCGATTGATTCGATTCATTGAGGGGTGGAGACGGTGGCGGGGTCACGCCCCGCCACCCGGCATTTGGTCCATAAAAAACTCAAAGACACTCCCAATGAAACCGATAAATAAACACAAATATCCAAAAATATAAGCCCAGCTTCCATCGGGGGTCGAAGCTTTTGATACCCTTGCAGATTCCTTGGCTGCACAATACATTCGCTGTTTAAATTTCCCATAATCGAAAGGCCATCACTCGAAGCCATTCCCCACGAGGGATTCTGGGATTTATTGGTTAATTTGATCAAAAAAATCTGGAATTATAAAAAACATTATATTCTGAAAAAAGAAATAGTCCCAGTCTCTTAAGGAAATCAACGATTTTTAGCTCCTACATCAGCTACATTCTACACTTTTACTTCTTTGCAAAAACATAATATCCCGTCTAAAAGAGGAAACAATAAAATTGAGAAATTTTCGAAATTTATGCATCAGACACCTGACGACGACGACAACGACGATTGTGTGTGAGAGTGTGTGTGCTTCCGCCTGCTCAAGAGCCACCCACATTCCGAGAACCAAACCTAAAACCATGCCCCTCTCCAGGGAATTGCCTGCCTTAAGCTTGTTAAGAATTTTTATTGCCTTTGCCGGAGAGGAATTAAGATTGAGATGGAGAGGCAATGGCAATGGCGATGGCACGAAGAGGGTTACGGTTCATTTGGGTAATGTCGATAAGTCGCATCTCCCACGGGAGCCATTCAAATTGACATTCTGGCTAATGAATGTGTGGTAAAAAGCGATAGGAATGCTTTAATCGGCAAGCGGGAAATTCTTTCGAATAAAATGCCGATGCTAATGCAAATTATACAATACTAAAGCTTGTATTTTCTCACATAGAACCTAAACTATAGATTTTATACGACAAATAGCTTCACTTAACTATCAGCCTACTTTGTGAATTTTTTTGTGAATAGTTTTACTGCGAGAGATGTGTAGCATGAAAAGGTTCAAGACTTTAATACTGCCCATTCGAATTTTTGGGGACAGTTCTAAACGCTCGGCTCTGTCTGGCAGGGTCTGCACAGCTCAACTGTGAACTGATATTGAAGCAATCTGTTAACCCTTTTTTGCCATCTCTATTTGCTCCGCGATGTGATCAACATTGAGGAGCAGAGGAGCCCCCACTGCTTTCTTAATTGCCTGCAGTCATTGTTTCATGGGAGGAGACTATTCGGCACCAAGACGAAATGGTCAGTATGGAGCTTGAAGCTGCGCGTCATCAACTACGGTCTGAGCAGGTGAGCCCTGCAGGGCCACTTGGCCCCCTTCTGCGGGGCAGCTGCAGCTGTAAGCCCCTGCAATGGACGAGAGTCGAGGTCCAGGCCTGTGGCTACGCCGAATTGTGGCACAATCCATCAGTGACAGCTCCCGTATGTAGCCGTATGTGAACCTTGGCACATCGGGCGTACAAATGCCAGTGGCCGTAGGACAGCGGAGCAATCAGAATGTAGTCGATGATGCACCGCGTTTCGCGCTCCATCTCGACCAGTTCGTCGTACCTGTAGACCCCCGTCCTCGATCAAGAGCTGTGGAATCTGCTTGTTGGTCATTTCGCGGGTCAGATAGATGTCCACGATCTTTACAGCCAAATAGAGGGTCTCGAGGTTAAGCGCGAAGATGTCCACGGTGCAGTGCGAAACCCGGAACCTGGAAACCAGTTCTGGCGCCAGTTTGTACGAGCCTGTGCTTTGTAGTCAGCTTTAGTCCTGCCGCAGGTTGTCCTTTAGTGTTGCTATTAGTGGCGCTGCTTGGTCCTTGGCCTGCTTCTGACACTGTTTCGGGTTAGTTCACTTGCAACGATTTAATTTTCTCTTGCCGGAGACAAGGCGGGCCTAGTGGTGGCAAAAACCGGGTGAGTCTGGTCGGAATACTCGATTATTTGTGCGCTTTTCTGCCTATCGGCGAGACTATCACCACTAATAACAGATGGCGGTGAAAAACGGCTATTAGCCATTCCCAGAACTATTTACCAAGAAACAACCCACACCACTTTGACTAGAAGTATCCCAACACACATCTAATTGTATTTGTTTCCCCTTTTTTAGGCTATGGCAACATTGCGCCACGCACCACTCTGGGCAGGATCGTGACTTTGGTTTACGCACTTTTCGGCATTCCCTTGACCCTGGTATATTTGAGCAGCACCGGCAGCATCCTGGCCAAGATCGCCAGGGAGGTGTTCTCGAAGGCTCTGTGCTGCTGCCTGTGCTCGAACTGCGGCTACTGTTGCTACGACGAGAAGCGGATGGCGGAGAAGGAGCGGCGCATGCGGCGGAAGCGGCAGCAGGAGGAGCTACGCAAGCAGCAGGCGGCAATGCAGGAACCGTACTACGTGAGGGATGTCTACCATACCACGCCCGAGAAGCAGGCGGAGGCAGAGGCCGCTGGGGGCGGTGCCCCGCCGGCGACGGTGGCCTCGGTGTCCAACTCCTCGGGCGGACTGTCGGGCATTAGTGTTGGCGGTGTCGGTGGCGGCGGCGGCGTTGCTGGCGGTCCCCCCACATCCCTGCCGAACGACATTGACTCGCTGAGCGCCAGCGAGTCGCGCGGCTCCATGCACGGCCTGAGCATCATGGCCCCCATCCTCCTCTGCTTCTCGATGATGATCATCTATATTGTGTTTGGTGCCGCGGTGCTGTACCGTCTGGAAAATTGGCCCATCGTCGATGGCATCTACTTCTGTTTCATGAGCCTCTCTACCATCGGATTCGGAGACATGCTGCCGGGACTGCGGCGGGAGTCGAACACCACCACCTGGTTCTGTTCGGTGTACATCATGTCCGGCATGACCCTCACGGCCATGTGCTTCAACGTCATCCACGAGGAGATTGTCCATCGCATTCGCATTGTTGTCGACTTCAAGAAAACCGATTTGGCTAACTCTAGCACCGGCTTGCCCCCAGGCGGACCTGTAATCGTCGCTGGCGCTGGCTCCGGTGGCTCCATGATGGACCTGGGACCCGATGATGCTGGCCAGTACTATGTCCCGGCCTCCTCCTGACATTACGAGAGACGGGCGCATCTCTATCAGCGCAATCCCACCGAAGAGACCCTGGTAACAGGTGAGTGGCCACAGTCTTAGATTCCAAATAGATCTGGGTCGATCCTTTCGTTTTCTTTCAGACACACCCACATCGCTAGTGCTGAAGGACTATGTTAATCACGAGCTGGTACCCATCCTGACCATGGACCCGAACGGGGCCCCACGATTGGCCCCTGCCCCCGCCTACACGCCCACGGTGACCTCCTGCGAGGTGACCACGCCCAGCAACAGCTGCATCGCCCATGGCAGCGACTCGGCCCTGGGCTACTCCTCACTGAACAGCCCGCTGCTGGATGTCCTCAATACACCCACAACATCACAGGCGGCCGCCTCGGGCGTGTACACCCTCACCGAGGAGACGGAGATTGAGCTGCAAGAGACGCAGGTGGATAGGATCTAGATCTAGCGATCCCAAGGCCGCAAAGCCAACGAAAGAAAGTATTAGACGAAAATTCAGTATTTTAGAGAGAGCGCGAGACACAGGTCCCTAGACATAGTCTTAGACATAGTCCCTGGGTTGAGAGAATGTCGATGTCGAATGTAAAATGTGTGTTGGACTATTTTTTTGTTTTTTTTGGATGTTTGTATGTCTAAATTTATAAGGAATTTCCCCCGTGTAATTGGCATCTACCGCTGGAACAGCGGAGATCATAGATCATAAGCAGAACTATCAATGTATTGTATATAGGCATTGGGTCGAAGGAAGATACATTTCCATAGCTCCTAAGCAGATGATACTAAAAAAATACAAAAATACAAAAAAGAACTAGTCAATGTTAGGGGCACTGCAAAAAGGCCCAGGCAAAAACAAAACCCAAAAACCAATAAGAATTAAGATAAACGTTATACTACAAGTAAATACAAAATCAGATACAATAGGATTTGGCCAGAGGTGCTCTCTCAGTGGTTCAGATCATGATTGCCCCGATCCCGATCTAAGCTTATCCTTGGGTATTCAAATATCAATATTATGCATTACAAGAAAATATCATTTTCATGGAAAGTTGATACTGAACGAGTGTTGATATTGTTAAACGATCCAAACGATATGCAAATCTGATCTGTGCACTGATTTGATCTGATATGTGAATGGCAGAAGCATATAGTAGGTGGTTAAGTGCTTCAAATTACTTATTACTCGAACCTCTATCTTAAAGAACAGAAGTTTGACCGAATAGATTCCATTGTTGATTGAAAAGTAAGAAGTGTCAAGCGTCTATCAGTGGGATCCGGCACAAATCAAGGCTGCTGTCTGGTGGTTTGGCCAGTGCTCAAAACAATCCCATCACCCCAAAAAGCAGAGCCGAGCAACAGAGATGGAGAGAAAGCACCCTCTCGCCCTCTCTCCTTCTTTCTCATTCAATCTTCGCTCTGGTGAAAGCTTTCCCCAAACATTTCCAACTGCAATTAAATATAGTATATAAATATATAGGTATGATTAATAGAGAAATTCGTCTTTTATATGTATGTATGTATGTACTCGTAAGCAGAAACACACAATTACACATATGCAATATCCAGAACAGAACCCATACATATACATATACCTTATCGACAAAAAAAAAAACAAAAGGCCCACACACATATTTTATACGTAACTCAAGCTTAGTAAAATTAAATAAATAAATGTACTAAATAAATGATATAAATATACAAAATATATATATATACATATATGTATATATATAATAGTTATATCTATGGGTAAATGGATGATTTTTTTTTGTAATTGCAATAAGCAGAAACCCAAATGAAAGTAAAGTAAAGAAATTAAGTAAACTATGCATACATATTATCAGTGGATTCAAATTCATAAATTTAAATAAAAATAAACGTTTAAAAACTACAACAGAAATTATAGTAAACCAAGTCATACAGAAAAGGAAAACAAAAAACAGAAAACTTGAAAAACTTTGTAAATGTTTAAGTAAATGTATATTTGTGACAACTGCAGCAGCAAAATAAACTCAATAAAAAGCGTTAAGTGCAGCCGTGTTTGAATTGGTCGCGAAACTACTTCGTTGCAAGCATAGTGCTGTAAGGTGCGTTTAGGATGGTGCTGTTATGCGCATGCTGTTAAGAACAGATTTTCGACTGTTTATCCTTACAGCAACCTAACAAGATTATGTTATTCAGTACTGTAACGATATAATTGCTTCTGTTATACTCTCTGTTATCATCTTCAAGAGTTCTGAATACATAGACATACATATGTACCTTTAGTTGTTACATCAATCTAACATGTTTCTGTTATTCACTACTGAAACGAATCGATGCAATTTCTACGTGGGCGCAACAGCTCTCTTATGAATTTATTGGGCTGTTAGGCGCATCACTGAGGACTTAACAGTAACACAAAATTACCAATATTATTAAATTGGCAGACTATTAATTTTTAAATTTTAGTAAATATTACCTATTGGAAGCAAAGTAATTTTTCATTTTATTTTCCTCCCATCTTCGCAATAGGTATTGTACGCTAGTCAACACTTGATTGGCAGCCATATTAAATTAACCGTTAAAGTTGAATTAATTTTTAGCGTGGCTTTTTCACACTTGTTGTTCGTTTAATTGTTGCAGCGCCATGAACTGGTCGCTGATTATTTCCATTTTGATCAGTTGCCTGCAGGGCGGACATAGTGCCTTCGACGAAGACTGCCCCACGCTGGCCGACGGCGACAGCCTGTCGCAGACACAGCTACTGGACCGCCTAACGCACGGCTGCCGATACGACCGTCTGGAGCGGCCCATCACCTACACTGAGACGGGCACACGCCTCCCGGTGGACGTCTACATGCGAGCCTACATCTACTTCATGCAGAACCTGGAGGCCCACGATCTGCAGTTCAAGATCTACGCCCTGCTGCAGTTGCGCTACCTGGACCCGCGCCTGAACTTTCGTAACGTCAGCCCCAAGCGGCGGCAGCCCATCCTGGGGGAGCAGCAGCTGCGCGACTCTCTCTGGATGCCGCACATCTTTTTGGCCAACGAGCGTGACTCCAGCATTCTGGGTGGGTAGGCTGCATGTGCATATCGCCCATTTATTGGGCAATTAATACAATTAATCCTCTCTCGAACTTAAGGCACCACGGAGAAGGATATTCTCACTTCCATTTCGCCGGACGGGACTGTCATCGTCTCGAACCGCATCAAGGCCACGCTCTACTGCTGGCTGAACCTGAAGAAGTTCCCCTTTGACGAGCAGGACTGCTCTACTGTGCTCGAGAGTTGGATGTACAATACCTCGGAGCTGGTACTCCACTGGGAGCAGAAGCGACCCATCACCTACGATCCGGCCTTGCACCTTACCGAGTTTCTGCTGCAGCGCTCCTGGTCTAACGAGACGGTGATCAATGCGGATCTCAGTGATTTGCGGCATGGCGCCTTTGCCGGTAACTACAGCTCGCTTAGCTTCACCGTCCACCTGACGCGCGTGGTGGGCTTCTACTTGATGGACTACTTCTTTCCCTCGATGCTGATTGTGGCCATATCATGGGTGTCCTTCTGGCTGCAGGCGGATCAGGCTCCGCCAAGGATAACGCTTGGAACAAGCACCATGCTGACCTTCATAACGCTGGCCTCGGCGCAGGGTGAGCTCATTGACGGGGCTGTTCCTGCCCCAAGAGGAATCTCATCTGATACCATTGTTCTATTCGTTGACAGGCAAAACGCTACCCAAAGTGAGCTACATCAAGGTTTCGGAGGTGTGGTTCCTCGGCTGCACTATCTTTATTTTCGGTAGCATGGTGGAGTTTGCTTTTGTGAACACCATCTGGCGCCGCAAGCAGAATGTGCCCGTCAAGAAACTCAACAGCAAGCACATTCTTAAGTCTACTCTGTCGCCCCATCTACTGCGTCGCCGCAGTCACGCCCGGTCCCGCTCCTTCTCGGGAATGGCGCGCCAGCCGGACACCAGTTCGCTGGCCGGGGCTGGCTTCAACAACTATCTGACCGTAAATTTACCCATCACCACGATCACAGAGGGTCAGGTGTTGGGCCAAATGCGGGAAGGCTTTAAAAGCGAGAAGCGGAAGACCAGCGGACAGGCAATGAGCGCCTCTGGCCAGAAATTGGATATATCCTTTGTGGAGAGCGCCTTTGCTGGACCACCACTAGGTGGAGGCCTTGCACCGGGGCAGTCAGCGGCCGCCGTCAGCGAAACGGCCAACTCTCAGATGTACAACAACAATCGATCCGAGGGGGTTGGCATGGGCGCTGGAGCGGAGGAGATGGATTTTACTGGATGGACAACGCTGACATCTCAGGAGATTGCCATGTGGATCGATAGTCGTGCTCGTTTGGTATTCCCTGTGGCCTTCCTGGTGTTCAACATGTTCTTCTGGACATTTGTCTACTGCATTTGATGGTTTAAATCTATTTTAAATTTATTCTAAAAGTTCTGTTTGTTCCATAACATTTTTGTTTTTTTTTATGTACTTTTCAAGTGTTTGTGTACTTAAAATACTTTATATTTGTGCTTCCTTGTGCCTTGTTTATATCAATATATTTTGTATAATCGCTTCTTATTGCTAACCTAAAATATATTTTAAACAGTTCAAACTGCGCGCCCAGCTGTTGCGCATTCGCTTGGAGTGTTGGGAAACGAGTGGAAACAGGTCTCTGGGGCGTTATTGAGACAAGGCCGACACTATACAAAATCATGTGTGTTAGAGCAGCACCACTATATCACAAAATATATGATATTCATTTTTTTTCTTTTCACCCACATACACACACATACAGCGAAACAATAACATCGGGCCCAAAAAAAACGTTCGTTCGCTCGGCGACGTCGGAGACCAAACTTCGTCGTGAATTGTAAATGAAAAAAAATACAAAAAAGGAATAAGAGTGCTGCCTTTTTTTATTTTTTGGTTGTTTTCTGTGATTGTAACCCCTGTGCCGAAAAGGAAACAAATTAAGCAACAAAAAGACGGAGCAAACTCAAAAGCAACAACAAAAACAGTGGCATGTGCAAGTGCAAGGCAATCATAAACAACGGTAAAGGGAAGAAGTGAGAGAAGTAAAAGCAAGAGCAATAAGAAGAGCAGCTAGCAAGCTTGCCATTGTTTTTATGAAAAAAAAAACCCACAACGGAATTATTGTTATATCGAGTTATATGTATTTCTTGGATCGCAACGATCACTCACTTTTTTTAAGAGGAAAATTTAAAAGCAATAACAATTTTGTTTTGAAAGAAAACAAATATCAGAACAGTAAAGTAAATAAATGCGAGCCGGTAACTTTAGTTGACGTCTTCCTTGTCCCTCTTCTTCGCGCAACGAAAGCAACAACAAAAGCAGCAAGAGCTAGAGTGAGAGAACCAAATCTGTGATTGCACGTTGTCCTGCTCCCGCCCACACCTTTCCCATCAAGCTGGAAGAGCCGGAGGAGCAGCAGCGTCATGGACACCATCTGTAGACTCTGCTTTCAAACAGCAACGGTAAGTGTTTCCTGGGAGCGAAGAGAGTAAAATTAGAAATTATTAAATTTTAAGTATTGATTTTCACTGCTTGCAAAGATGTGGGGGAATGTTTATGGGGAGTTTAAACAATTGAATTTTTTCTCTGCCGGCAACCGCTGCTACTGCGGCACTGCTTTGCTGCTGTTTATGGTTGGGCATTGGGTGGGGGTTGAAAAGCGCGCGCAGTGCTTTCCGCATGCGTCTCTCATCCACAGCCAAATATTTTGATCGCTCGCACACATATGTATGTACATACCACACTTGCATACATACATACATACACATATGCGACCCCAAAAACCTATTGCCGAACATATTTATTTTTAGACACAAAAAAAGTTGTTCAAGCCGACAACTTGAAAAAATATTATTTTTACATTTTGCTTGCGCACTGCCTGCGCTGGCCTGCTTACTTTTCACTTTGACTCCTTTTCACCTCTCTGCCTACCTCTGTTCCACTGTCCCCACACGTCGCGCTCTTCCACCGACAATCGCACATAAAGAAATACAGGGACAGCGGCACAGGGGTAACAAAAAAAATGTATGAAACAATATCCAATATGAATCTGGCTATCAAGCAAATGTTGCAACAACAGCATAAAACCCCTAGCTCCGCTTCCAAACAAACCCCATTTTTAGTGATTTCAGGTTGTACGCCTCTGCACTCTCGACGTTGGCAGAGTCAAAACAAAACACAAAAAGCAAAAGAATAACAAAATGAAGAAGAAAGAAAATGAAATAACATGAAATGAAAACAGCAACAAAATTACTTGCGCAAAGTATATTAAATATAAGGTGAGGCAGTTCCGCTATACTGCTGAACATTTGTTTACGCTCTAGTGAAATTCCTTACCTTCTTATTACTATACCTTGAACTTTTGCTGCCAGCGCACGATGTGCATGTGTGTATGCGTATGTTTATCATCTTGCTTGATATTTTTTGTAGGGTGGGGAGCAAATGTGTTGGTGCCTGGCTGGTTAGGTGGGCTGAGAGGGATACAATAAATAAAACGTATTATGATTATTACATTTTTGTTTTTATCAAAGCGAAAAGAAAAAGCCAAAACGCACTTTCCATTTTGGTCCAATTGGATACTCATCTATTTCTCTCCCCTCCTTTTTTAATTTACAGTTATTCCAAGTGCCCGGCTATAGCATACCCACGTGCGTACGCTGCTCCGAACAGCTGACAAACAATTCAAACTTCCATCAAGCAGTGCGGGGGGCAGAAGGCGGATCGGCTGTTTCCGTATCTGCGGCCGTTGCAGCAGCCGCCGCCGCCGCCGTCGCATCGTCATCGACGTCCAGTGATAGCGACGTTGCTGCAGTGGCGCAGCAGCTGACCAACGGCAGTAATGCTGCTGCCGTCGCAGTGCTGCAGCTACACCAGCAGCAGCAGCATCAACAGCAACAACAAATGCAATCATCGAGCTCTTCCGAGAATCTACAATCGCAGGACGATTCTGAAGATGTAAGTTTATGCTGATAAAAGCGAGACGGATAGAAATGGTTCTTTTTGAATGTGACAGTGTTGACAAACGTAATCCTACCACACACACACACACACACACATGGGACTCCTACTGCACTTGCCCAAGGTGTATTAATGTAAGGTGAAGCATTCCGACCGAATACCGTTCCGAACGTAAACTATATTTTTCCATATACCCTTATTCGTCGCTTGATACAAAGATATTGAGAGAGATCGATCAAAAAAATAGGTAACTCAGAACAGCGGGAATTCCTCACCTTACGTAGATACACCTTGCACTTGACTGTTTATTATTATGTTTTTTCGTTGTTGTTTTCTTTCCTCTTTACACATAGCTGCACATGCTACTCCCACACACACACACAAACAAGAATCAGCGGCAGCACATAAATATCCTCACACATGTACACACATATATACATACATATAGAAATACTTGTGTACATTTGCTTGCACATTCGTCGCTTCGGCTCCTTCTTTTGCTTCTCTTCTTCACCCACTTCTTATTTTTCCCCGTTTCTTTGCTCGTTCTTGTGCCTTTCTTTTTCCACCATGCAACTGAGCTCTGCAGATTTTTTTTTGGCAATATCCGCCATACGAATGCTCTACGAATACATCTCCCGTGATGGAGATATATTGTGAAAAAAATCATTTATCAATTGTAATTTGTTCAAATATGGATTTTTTCATCCGAGTGTAAGAAGTTTCAGTTAAATGAAATGGTTCCCCTGTAAGATATTACCGCTCGCCAGTACAAGAGCAATCGAGTGGAGTGTCATTCGCATAGTGAGGGTATTCACTGTTCGACTTGCTGTACACTTGGCTGCTCATTTTCTTGTTTTCCTTTATATTTATATTTATACACATATATATATGGTTATTTTTTTCTTCTTTTTTTCATTAATATCTGCGCTCTGTCGATGCCAGCGTCGACGCTCAGCGTTTTCTGTGCGCGCTGTGTGTAAATCTAAGGCGGAAAAAGTTCATTTTTCGATTGACGCTTTCGGTGTGCGGGTGTGTGGCATGCAATGCGTGGCATGCAGCGACACAAAATCAAGCAGAAAAAAAAAATACAATTATAGACTTGCAACAGGGAAAACAATTAGAAATAAACAAACTGAATTTGCACGGGGACTTGCAGTCCATATTTTTGGCCGCCAGCTTGTTGAGCGTGAGTTCTGTGTGTTTGTGTGGGTGTGTGTGTGTGAGAGGGAGTGCAACAGTGTTTGCAAAAATTTACAGTTATAACTCCCCCCACCCTCACTCCATCGTACCCGTGTTCCCCTCCCACGCAATCACTTGCTCACTGCTTATGTGCGTCTTTTTTTCTCTTTCTCGCTCTTGCCCGCGTCACAGGTGGATCTGATATTCAATGAGGAGGGGTCCTGTCCCCTTTGCAATAAGACGTTCTCGCGCAAATCCTCGCTGATGACGCACATACGGAACCACTCGGCGGAGCGTAAATTTGTTTGCACATACTGCAACAAAGGTAAGTGTGTCTTATGCCGCCTACCACTCTTAATACCGATTCGACTCCTCTTTCTGTGACACAAAGGCTTCACCCAGGCGGCCAATCTGCGGAATCATGAACGTATCCACACGAACGATCGTCCGTACCAGTGCGTCGATTGTGGCAAGACCTTCACACAGATCACGAACCTAAATAATCATCGGCGCCTGCACACCGGCGAGCGGCCCTTTGTCTGCAATGAGCCCGAATGCGGGCGCAGCTTCGCCCAGGTAAGCATCCATATCCATATCCTCATCCCATATGCATTTGAATCCCATTCTAAAACCCCTTCAATTGCTGCAGGTGACCAACCTCAACAATCACATGAAGTCACACCACAAGGTGCAACAATACTGCTGCAACGTATGCAACAAGAAGTTCACTCAGGTCACCTCACTGAACCAGCACCTGCAGGCGCATGCCGGTGTCAGCGGCTACTTCTGTCCGCGTTGTCCCGATAAGAACTTTAAGCTGCAGTCACAGTTGCACACGCACATGAAATCGCACGGCCTGGCCTTCCCCTACGAGTGCAGCAAGTGCGACGAGAAGTTCCTGCAGCAGGCTCACCTCGACCAGCACCTGAAGATGCACGACGAGTTCAAGTTCAAGTGCGACATCTGTCCCAGCAGCTTCAACCAAGAGTCGCTGCTGAAGAAGCATGTGCAGCGGCATGTCGAGGGTCGGTATCTCAGTTGTCCAGTGGCCAACTGTACGGAATCGTTCGCCGTACGCCAGCACCTGTCCAAGCATTTGCTCACAAATCACTCCCATCACGAGCTACCGCCACCGAAGCGCTCCAAAAAGACGGTAACGCTGCAGTCGCCACAACAGCCACTGGCGATGATCGGCCAGCCGCTTTCTCTGCAGCACACGACGGGGCAGCGTAAGTATTAGTTACCTGCTAGAATCTCAACATGCTCAAGGACTCTCTTTGCTACTATTTTTTCTGTAGGTGGACGACCGCCGAAAAATAAGAACAAAACGACCGGCACCTTGGCCGCCACGGCTATTAAGATTGAGATCAATGAGCCGCTACACAGCCAGCATATCATCAGCAGTGCCAGTGGGCTTTCCATCCAACAGCAGATCAACCAGCACATGCAACAGCAGGCGCAACAGCAGGCTCAGCAGCAACATCAGCAACAGCAGCAGCATCTACATCTGTCCATGGGCCAGGCGGTCAAGGCGCGGTTCATACCCACCAAGTAGATAATGTTCAGTCTCTCTCTCTCTTAGCCCTCCTGCACAGTCCTCGCAGTTGCTTGAACTCCGCTAGTAGCTAGCGCCATAGCCCGAATACATATCCTCCCCAGTTTGCTATAAATCAATCCATATGTAAAAGATACATAGATACAAGATTTGTGAGTCCGGCGGCAAGCTGCTGGTTCGGTTTGGTGTCTGTCTCCCAACCGCTGCCCAACCAAAGCAATAGAAAAGCCAAAATGCATCACAAGACAGGAACAAAAAACAAAATCGCATAAATGCCACCTACCTTCGGCAGGCCGAAGTTCAAATACCCTTTGCAGTAAAATCAATGAGATGATGAGAGAAATCTGTCCTAAGCCACAGTTCCGGCATAGTGTCATACCGAAGACATAGCTCATGAACTGCCTCCTTTCTGGAGGACTTTTGTCGTTTGAAAGCGTCATATCCCCGCTCGGAGATATATCGCTTTAAATGTCTCCGCCGTTTAACAAACGACATATCTCCGCGCAGAGCTAGGACGTTTTCCGACGACATGTCGTCGGAGATATTGTCGCTGCCCCCACAGTTCCATATAGCCATTTCATTTGGCTTTGCAAATTGTAATTCTTTGATAAAGATGGGAGATGGATGTGTATCCTTGAGTGCTAGTAACTCACTCTGTAAAAGTTCTTATGGCTCATGGCCGCCCCCCTCTTCTGCAAAAGGGTATTTTCAAGCAGCATTGACAGCATCGGAGATCAACAGACAGGACAAAACGGACTTCAAGCACGAAAAAGAACAGGGGGAAAACCAGTCTATACAAATCGAATTGACATTTAAATTGTAATTTTAATGCAAAAACACGAACACACACACACACACACACAGACAGAAACCAATTACCTAAAATGAATAGTAATTATGCAAAAAAAGAAAAAAAAAACAATATTTGATTAAATTTGGGATCTATTTATGTTGTAAGCATTAGTTTAAGTGTTTTTATTTTTTTTTTTTTAATAAATACATTAAAATAAACAAAAGAACCTGAATGAAGAAGAGCAAATGTGTAGATGTGTGCCTGCAGTTTGTTGGGACACCCTTGGATCCCCCCCCCCCCCCCCCCCCCGCGACATTGAGGTCACGATGATGCGTAGGAGTATATTGACCTTTTAAGGAAAACACGTTGACGCACAAACAGACACTGAATCGTTCCGCAATGACGCACTTTTTGGAAACGCACCTACGTCAGGCTGCAGCCTGTCATCAACAGTCTTGACGAACGGTGCGCTCCGCCCCCTCCCTTGTGTGGGGAGCAATACATATCGTATAGTATAAGCATAAGAAATGTAACAGCGCTCGTCATGGCGCCCCCTTGTGCTGATTGCAGAGCTACGATTATATATATCTTCGTTCTGCATCCACTTTTGAAGACACTTTTTGCAGTAGGAACCATTTGCAATGTTTTCCTAAGGAGGCACACGTGCCTCAACATCTAGATACACCGGTACTCATCTAGGAAACAGATGCCTTTTTTTGATTTGCAATTGAATTCCAATTCTAATTGAAGGATTTTTAAATATAAAATATAAATATATAAATCTCTTTTTTGTTATATAACATTTCATTTGAAATCTGTAAGCGGGGCATTTTGGAACCTGATCGACTTGCGTGGGTACGTGTCGAGGCTCGTCTTGAATTCATCAATATCCACAATGGTGTGCATATCGTCGCCATCTCTGGGGAGAAGTACAAGGTTCAGTCGACTGCCCAGATCCTCGTACAGACTTTCTTCCCAACTGAATGATGTGGACTTCTCATCCCCATTCTCACTCCCATCGGCGAATTGATCGTCTGAAACGGAAACAGAGCTCGGCGTCTGATGGGTCTCGAGGAAGACGTCGCTGCTGTAATTCGTTCTTTCCGAAGCCCAGTCGTAGGCCCATTCGGTGGGTGGATTTCCAATCACCTGAATCGAAAGTTTGCGACAATGTGCGGCATCCGTGTCTACCATGAAGCTAATCATCTCCTCTTTGGTGATATTGTGCAAGGCATCGGCCTGTTGTTGATTCCGATCGAACAGAAAATCCCCATTGATAATCTCCTCCCAATGGCGATCCGATTCCATGGCCAGGTTCTCGTCAGGGGCGAGCTTCGCCTGAATGAGTTTCTCCTTGGAGCGCAAAAACTCATCGTCGCGCATTTTGTTGAGGATCTGTAGCATCGCGTGGTGGAATTGATCGATGCCCCGCTCCAAATTCTTGGCTCCCTTTTTCGTTTGATGCGACGAGGCAGTAATGGAGTACCCAACAATGCCATAATAGAGCCGTACTCTGGCGTATACCTCGTAGCACAGTTTCTCCTGTGTGCACAGATATTCATAGATGGGGTCCTCAAGGATTTGCATCATCAGATCGAGGATGCTCTGCACTCGGATCGTATTCGGTCCGATTTGATAGTAGTTCATGATCACCGTGTTGGCATCGCGATCGTTGAGGGCATTACAGAGAATGCAGTGGCCACCTTGTGGCAATTCCTTCACACTGTCCTCCAGCAATTGGGGCTCTGAAATGGCCCGACATTGGAGGCGACTGATCACCGTATTTAACAAACTGCAGGCGGACAGCTCCGTGTAGTTGCCCTCAATGAGGGCCTGAATGTACAGCTCCTGAGGGAACCGTTGAGCAAAGGCCTTGAATTCCTCCAAAGTGATGCCATTGATGCTCTTGTACTTGTCGATGGTCAGCCAATGAGACTCCTCAATCACACATGCGCGAATGTCCCTAAAAAATCAAATGAATATACCGGTTCCAGATCTAGAGTAAGAAACAGTTTATCTCACCTACAAAGTAACGGCGACTTGATCAACTCATAAAAATAGAGCTCCCGGAGATTGTCGCGATAGTTATTTAGGATGGACTCCTCGAGACTGTCGGCCACACTCACGATCGCCTGGGCAATGGCCTCCACCACCAGATGGAGCTTCTCGTTGTAGCCCCGCACCTTGAGCACAAGACCCTTTTCCCCGACAGTGAAGCCATAGCTTATGCCCGCAGTGGCAGCCGCATAGAGCTGCTCAAGTACATGGACCTCCACTAGCTCAACGTACAAAGAGCACATGGCACCTCTGAGGGGGATGGATCGGATCGGATAGGATAGAATTGAGGTGGTTCAAGCAATGCTGAGGGTCGCTGGAGTGTTCGCTTACTTCCTGGCACTCTGACGCTGCAGCGGCGAAATGAAATAGAACGACATACTGGCCTTGGGCTCCCCGAATTTGTCGTCCAGACGATACCACAGCTCGCAGATTTTTGTCTTCATCAGCCTCTTGGGGCACGGCGGTAGGTCCGGTTTGCCCAGTTCCAGCCAAAATATCCTAAAATCCTCGGCAACAAAGGCATTGGGTTCTGGCAGGCACAGCTCCTCGATGGGATTGAATTCGTGCCACAATTTCTTCCATTGGTCGGGCATGGGGCTGGGGCTGTCGCCCACGTACGTATCCCCCGAAGTAATCACCATATTGAAGTCCATTTTGTTCACAAATCCAATCATTTCGGACATGTGCTGGTCGCTGTATTCGTAGTAGAGGCCCCTGGCGGTGAGCACATCCTTACCCGGATAATATTTGCTGGACAGCACCAGATCCTGTACGTTATAGAGGGCCGCACGATGGGTCTGGAAACGGAATCTGGCCTCCTCAATCAACTGCTGTTTGTCATACAAAGGCCGCAGTACCGCCGCGTCCGAGGCAGCGATGAGCTTTATATAGGCAAAGGTCGCGGCCAGCACCCCATCGATGTGCTTGTACCCCTCGTCGGTGAGGTGGATCGACAGCTTGAACAGCGAATAGATGGAGTTGAGATCGAAGCCATTATCATCGACGCCAGCCAGCAGATGGACCGACCAACGGCGATGCCGCAGGTACACACAGAGACTGCCAGGACCCTCCTGGCTGAGCAAATAGGCCAGGAACGCCTCCGGCTTGCTGCGGTAATACTGCCGGACACTGGGCAGCAGCCATGTCAGGTCCAGCCGACATCCGCCATCCGAGGAAGTCACGTAGAACACATTCTCGTGAAACTCCGGACGGAAGGCGGTGCGATAATCGAACCGTGTAAGATTTACCGACGCCATGCCGTTGCTTGGTATCACACCAAAGTGGCGGCAGATCATCTGCTCCAGCTCCTTGAGGGAGAGGCTTGCCTGCAGGCATACGTGCATGTGATTGGCCGCATAATTGTCGCGTCGCAGCTGTTGGATCATCGCTGCGAGGGCATCCTCGGGATCCTTCTCCTTGAGCTCGGCCAAATTGTCCCAGTCGTACAGCCCATGCGGATAGTTGTCGGCGGCCAGGCTGGCCAGCAGCAGATTCCGCTGCGCCTTGTAGTCCTCGACCTCTTGCCGCAGATCCGCTATGATCGGCAGCCTCTCGCGCTCTAGGACATCCTGCTTGATCAGCAGGGCCGTCAGGTGCAACAGAGTCGAGGTTAGGTGCAGCTCGGGCACCTCAAAGTAGAACATCGTCTCCTCGCAATCAGCTCTGACGTTGCTGAAGCCCCCACATTGCTTCACATGCGACGTGAAGATGCCGTCCATGTGGAGCAGATGCTCCAAAACGTGCGTCAGACCGCGATAATTCTGCGGATCTTTGAACGAACCACAGTCGACCGTCAGGGCAAGGGCGGCCGTTTTGTAGCCCACAGAGTCCCCCGTGCTCACTGGATCAGGGTCCGAAACGATCAAGGCTTTCAGGCCATTCTGGAGCAAAATGGACCTGCAATCATGGCTCAATCAGGAATGCACAAGGTTCTGTACCTCTACCCATCTCATGTGTTTCCACTTACTTGTACGATTTTTTGTCGTTTTCCGATTGATCTGGAACGTCCGTCTCTAGATTTTCATGGCTTAATACCTGCTCTATTGCCACTTGTAAATTCTCTCTTTCTATGTCTACATTCTCCGCCATTTCTACTTGTGTACTCAAAACCGATGCTCACCGATTTACAATATAAGTCAAATTATATTTTTGACATAACAATCGATGGTAGTACCACTAACCATACAGTATATAGATGTGCCAGTTCATACAACGAAAGTGTCACACACCGGCTTGCGCTATCCATACCCCAGAGTGACGTCATCATGAGAGAGAGAGCGCAGAGCCAGTGTGTGACACTTTCGTTGTATGAACTGGCACATCTATATACTGTATGGTTAGTGCCTAAACTGACGAGAGATGGGATTCATGTATCGAATAGGGGGAAATCCCTAGATTCCGAAAATCTATGATCTAATTTTGGGTATCAAATTCTCAAATTAGCACTGAACTTGATCTTTCGACAGCCACTCTAAAATAAGGAAATGCAACAACAAATACTAATTTTGTACTTTCCCGTAAATTGGATCGAGCGTTCGAGCGTTTGATTCGAATTCATAAGAGGTTGTGTGTGTGTTGAAACAGTGGTGAAGGTTTATTAATTAGCAATTGGAAATTGGCGACGCCTGCTCATAGGTCGACTACGACGAATTTGGTTTGTAAAAATGCTGTTTCCTCTTCCTCTTCCTCGATTTTTTACATGGCATATTGATTTGTAGGTATTAACGAGCTACCGATTACACTTTTAAGTTGCATTTATTGAATGATTCATTAACAGTTAAATTGAAAGTTCTAATCTAATCCCATATTGACTTGACAAATAGTCGCTAAAATTGGCGAGACTACAAGGTTGGGTGATTTGTTAGTTAAACATATGTATGTTAGAAGGCATTCATGGAACTGAAAAACAAATTTTTGCAATATTTATGCAAAGCAATGCTCATTGATGAGCGTTTTAAAAAGGCATTTAATTTTTATAAAGCTATGTTGATGACATTTTTAATTAGACACACGCTAAACACTTTCATTGGCTGGCGTTGGGCATTGGGCAGAAGGCCTGCAAGTTGCCTGTGGCTATAGATTATGGTTATTTATGTATATGGCTATAGTTGCGGCATTTCATCCAAGTCCCGACTTCATCATATAAACACTAATGGGCATCAAAGTCACGTAACATGTTAAAAATATACACATGTATATATGTACATATCTCGTAGCGCTTGTCGATATTTGAGAGCCCTCGGTGGCGTAAGTGGGACAACTTCTACCTAAGGGTAAAAAGCAAAGTAGCTTGGTAAAGGGCCCTAGAACAGTTCTACCATCATTCTTTGGTTGGAGAGAACAAACAAATATAGATAAACACGATAATCAAGAGTCAAATTCATTTCTTAGTTGATAGACATTTATTTTTCTTGCTGCACATGTCCACCGATTGAGTAATAAGTATTATTGTGCAGTTTTTGTTAAGTGATTAAATACAAAACTGAAATTGAGCGTCGTTCCGCGTCTTGTTCCGCAACTGGACTAAAATTCTCGCCGATCTGCTTCGTGCTCTCAATAATTTGCACTCGCTATTTCTTGCTTTGCGCTCTCCTCTTGTCGTAGTGAGCTCTCTGGGAGCGAATATTAATCTATTTCTGAAAACTGATATGAAATACATATATTGCATACAGCGTTAAAGTGCATGGTGAAAATAGGGGGAAATCCCTTTATTTATTACAAAAAATATAATATATTTTATAATTTTGGTTTGCGATGATCGCATTCATGGCGTGATTTCGCCACGCAAATTCATCTTCATCAGCTACAAAAACAAATTTTATTATATTATGTGAATTGCTTTCATTTGCAGTTTACCTCAATCTTATTATGGTGCGGTAAATCAGTGCCCAGGACATAGGCTAGCTTGGTATACGCTGCCTCAGAAGTCATGTCCGATCCAGATAAAACGCCCAAATCGCTAAGCACTGCTCCAGCATCGTAGATTGCTGCTACGGAGCCGGACAGGCACTGAGTGCAGTTGACGATGATAACTCCGCGATTAACGGCACTCCGTAGAAGAGAAGTTATCTCGGACCAGTTTGAGGGTATATTACCAGAGCCATAGGACTCCAGGACAACTCCCATAATGGGCTCCGCCAGAGCCGATCGAATCAAATCCAGTGACATATCCGGAGTTATTCTCAAGGAGGCCACATTCATCTGAAATTCGCCTGTCACAGCGAGTGGCCTAGCTCCGGGCCCTGGGCGTACCAGGAAATTATTTATAATTATGTCACCTTCAAACGTGCCCAGCAGTGGAGCGTTGGGAGAATCAAAAGCATCCAGAGAGTTGCAATTGACCTTGACCGTTCGATTGCCACGAAGCAGCTTGTTGGCGAAGACCACGCACACTTCCGGTATTTTATAGCAGCCGGATATGATCAGGGACGAGACGAAGTTGTTCCTGCCATCGGTGCGTGTTTCGTAGATGGGTATCATTGACCCGGTAACGACCACCGGCTTATCCAAATTTCCTAGGAAAAACGACAGGGCAGAGGAGGTGTACGCCAGCGTATCGGTGCCATGGAGTACAACAAACCCATCGAACAAATCGTACGTCCTCTGGAGTTAGCGATTTCTGTGAGATGCATATATGTATTTCATTTAAATTTATTTGTAATACATACACCAATATCTTGGGCTATGCGTTTCCAATCTTTCCCGGCCATATTACTGGAGTCCAGCAATGGATCGTACTCTATGAATTGGTAGATAACCCGTACTGCCTGACCTTTTACCAGGGGCAGCGCCAGGAAGCCGTCTGGGACCTGTAGGCTGGGGTCATGCAGACTGACATCCTTCCGGATGAACCTTTCAAAAGCTTTCGGTTCTGGCACTAATACTAAAAGATTCAAAAACACAACACTGAACTGGAGCTATCCGTATGCACTTGGAGGCCTCTTACCACCATTGTCGTTGGGAGTCATCCCAATGGTGCCACCAGTATAGATGACAAGGACTCTTTTAAAATTTAGACACTTCGACATTTGTACCGATCAGAAAGCGTTGCAAACAAGCACTGAACCTATCTTTTCAACCTAATAGACCTGCTACCCATAAAATAAAAAAAATAAAAAATTCTGTCCTTCCCCGTAAATTATTTCATGTAGATTCGTACCTAATCGAAACCACTAACCATACAGTCACTCTGGGGTATTGATCGTTGTATGAACTGGCACATCTATATACTGTATGGTTAGTGGTTATACGAAAGTGTCACACACCGGCTTGCGCTATCCATACCCCAGAGTGACGTCATCATGAGAGAGAGAGCGCAGAGAGAACATCTTTGCATGTGATTGTATGCTTTTTCAGATTTTTTGAACTCTTCAGGTCTGGTTCTGTTTTGCCACCAGCATGTTTTAGTGTATGGACGCCACCGGCATCTAAATTTGTACTTTGCAGATTCCCGTCGGAAAGCGCGCGATTGACAATTGATTTGAAATACATATATGTAAAACCAATTCCATTTATGTATATAGTATGTGCATATTTATTTAAGTATATACACTCCCCGACACTTGAATACGACATACTAAAATGTACACTTTAGGCACCAATATTTCCGGCACAAGCCATAGAAAACGGTGAATTTGAATTTTCCTCAAATCTCTATTCAATTTAGCATAAATTAAAAAAAAAATAATAGCAATATTCATCAAAGTAGATTGAGAAAAAAAATTTAATTGACATAACTCAAATTTCCGCTCCCAAAAAATGCGACACTTGAATACGACATTCACATTGAAAAATTTTTTATTTTGGATGTGGTCGCGACCGGACATTGAATAAATTCTCAAAAATCAATTAGGGTGTCCTTATTACGAGAAAAAAATGTGGGTTATGGTAAGTCCTTTTCAAAGGACGAAAGCTCCACAATAAAAGCCTCGAAGGAAGTAGGTCCATCAATAATGAAAATAAGTGATGAAATTGGTAAAACTAGGTGTGTTCTGAGTGATTTCATAAAGAACGGGTCAAATTATGGCAAAAACATAAAAAACCGAACCAAAATTGCTACTTCCGAGACCTCTATGAGATCTCATCTGCGAGCCGCATCTAAAAAACACGACTAAAACTCGATTTAAAAATCTAAAACTGTACTTTAAGCTAGTGCTAAAATAATAAAACATGTTTTTTCGAAGACTCCACACCATAAGGGACTGTAATTAATAAAAAACCTCAGTCAACGGACGAAAACTTAGAATACTCCCGTACTTTTGCATATGAATAGGCGTGGAGTAGAGACTGTCGCTATATAGCATTTTCAAAGGGACAAAAATTTTAATTTGAAGGGTCATAAGGGTTTCTTTTTTATATTTATAAGGACTCAAGGAAGTAAAGGAAGTGAGGAGTAAAGAAGAATTACAATTGGATAGTTTTCACAGCAGTGTGAGCGCTATTATTCTGTGGTGAGCAAGATCCTAAAACGGCGTGGACCAGTTGATTTTTCATTAAGTCGAGTTTATCAAATATGCAACAAAGTTGAGGGGTTTTTTATTAATTACAGTCCCTTATGGTGTGGAGTCTTCGAAAAAACATGTTTTATTATTTTAGCACTAGCTTAAAGTACAGTTTTAGATTTTTAAATCGAGTTTTAGTCGTGTTTTTTAGATGCGGCTCGCAGATGAGATCTCATAGAGGTCTCGGAAGTAGCAATTTTGGTTCGGTTTTTTATGTTTTTGCCATAATTTGACCCGTTCTTTATGAAATCACTCAGAACACACCTAGTTTTACCAATTTCATCACTTATTTTCATTATTGATGGACCTACTTCCTTCGAGGCTTTTATTGTGGAGCTTTCGTCCTTTGAAAAGGACTTACCATAACCCACATTTTTTTCTCGTAATAAGGACACCCTAATTGATTTTTGAGAATTTATTCAATGTCCGGTCGCGACCACATCCAAAATAAAAAATTTTTCAATGTGAATGTCGTATTCAAGTGTCGCATTTTTTGGGAGCGGAAATTTGAGTTATGTCAATTAAATTTTTTTTCTCAATCTACTTTGATGAATATTGCTATTATTTTTTTTTTAATTTATGCTAAATTGAATAGAGATTTGAGGAAAATTCAAATTCACC